AGGAACGAATGTTGGAATGCGTCGGAGCAGGAACTGACCCTGGAATCTCGGCAGCCAAACCCTTGACAGTGCCGCCACTCAATCAACGCCTAGCGCCCCTTCGAATGCATCTCCCTTCTAGAACGGCTGCCCCAATACTTACTGGGGTGGGGAACAATGGAATATGTTCTATGGGGACTGTATGGGTGGTTGTCAAAATTATGGTCCCTTTTTGGATCCCTATCATAATACGGCACCTAATATTTAGGGTACCCTAAAAGGGACCATAATTTTGACAACCACCCATATAGGGATGATATTCCCGTATTCCCTATATACTAACTACCAGAAAGAGTAAGAATGCTGTGCATCCTTCAGCCTTATGGGAACCCCGAGGCTGTAGGGTTTAGGGTTTAGGGTTTGCCTCCGGAGGAAGGTGCTGAAGAAGGCGCCAAGGCTTGCAGCAGTACCTCTCTGCCTCAGTCTTCAATCATCTTACTGGGGTTTAGTAGGGAATAAGGGAGTATATGTGTGTTTAACTACCATGTATAGGGACTATAGAGCTTTTATTCCCTTCTTCCCTACCAAGCACCAGTAAGTCATGGTGAGGTTTCATGTTTTGCATGCTCGGGGTATGCTGTACAAGCCAAATTAAGTACTTACCAACATCACTTTGAAGTCTGTTCGAGGCACTGCGTACCGTGCAGAAGGGAATTAGAACCATATCACCGGCAATCATTGAGGTCAAGGGCAGTGCCTGAGAGCTTCCGCGCTGAACACGCTTTGAGAGCCGGGCTTCGTAGAGTTTTCGTTAATTTTCTCAAGGTCTACTGCTTTCATAAGGCTTGTACCCCAGAAGTTGCGTGCAAGCATTAAATAAAGATTCTATGAGAATCAAGGACTTACATGATACACGTCTCCTAGACATGTACTTCGTGTAGAATGTTACCCCAATATATAACCCCATATTGGGTACTAAGTGCTAGGATCCTGGGGTTACATTGGGATGATGGAAAAGAAAATGGAAAACTACTATATTATATATACCCTACTATAGTATAGTAGTTTCCAATTCATTTTACAATATCAGGTCCGTCTCCGCAGGCTCCAATCTACTAAGACGCGCATTCCTAAACAGATACGTCATTTGTTCACTCCTCTGTTTCCATATTAGCCATAGTCTAAACTCCTTAAAGGGGGTTATATGGGGGATTATATCGGGGACTACTATAGGGGTTATCAAGGGGGATACTCGGAGTTTAGACTATAGCTCATATACGAAGATGAAGATGCTTGTCTTGGTACGTGTTCCTTGCTGAATAAACGAAAAATCGGCTTTCATGTATAAGGACGGCGATTAACCTGGAGGGTCTTACGAGGGAGCCGCTATTCAAGGTTCTCAGCCAAAAGGATGTACAGATATACATGATATACATACTACAGGGTTCTGCACGTCGATAGCAGAGAATCAAGTGGAAAGCCAAAAGAACATCAAGCATGGAAGCTGAAATCATACTAGCTTTAGTCCAAACTCCTAGTCTACCCCTCAGTAACCCCTTAATGGGCACCCTATACACTCCTTCATGTAACCCCCATAAATTACCCATAAAGGAGTTTAGACTACAGCTCATATATTGTAGGTTTTAAATATAAGGCCACCGTTAGCTGGATTAGCTGCAGCCCTAGCCTTCCCTTCACCACAGCGCACGGCCTCCATTGAAAATCATGGTCACATTACCTTTTCCGTCTTGTTGGTAGCCTTGGATTCTGGATGCCTTGGATTCTGGATAGTAGCAGTAATAGCAATCATTTCTACAATGCTGACAGTAACAGTCACCATAACCTTACTTGTGCTTAGTAGAGAACGAGGGAGTGTGACCCCACATATAATCCCCAAAACCCTGCAACTAGCCCTATGTTACCCTTATACACCATGTTTCCATGCCACTTTCCTCTCCATTCGATTCTCTATTCCCTACTAACCCCTAGTAAGTAACAGTAATAGTAATAGTACTATGGGAACATTCCTTCCCTAAGCCCAAAACCCTGAACCCTAAACCCTAACCCCTAGTAATAAGAATCGTAACAGGAGGTCCAAGGCAACGGCGTTGCTTGGCTTCAACGTTGGAAGGCTCAACCTGAAGGACCTGGGCTTAGAGGGGCTCAGAGAGTACAGGGCGCCCTAGAATATGGTTTGGGGTTTTAGGGTCTTAGGGTTTAGGGTTTTAGGGTTTCGGGTTTTAGGGTTTCGGGTTTAGGGTTGGGGTTTTTAAGGTTTTGGTTTTGGGTTTTAGGGTCTAGAGAGGCTCGGGGAGTACGGGGTGCCCAAGAATATGGGTAGTTCCCGAGGGAACATGGAAAATAAAATAGAAGCTACTATTTAGGCTTTTGAGGCAGTTCCCGAAATTGGGGTCCTTTTTTGGTACCCCCAAATATTAGGTACCCTAACATAACCTATAGCCAAAAGGGGCCCAGAATTCTGAAAACTACCCATGTGTTTGGGTTACTTGGGAAGATGTGATCATTCTCGACTGCCATAATGTTCAGAGTGTCCTGAACTACTCAGAGCCGCAACATACCATGGCCATAATTTCAGATGTGAAGACTTGGTTAGCTTGGCATTTCGCTATTTCTTGACAACTTTCAACTGCATAACCGAACGCAAAAAGGCGCCCGACTTCCTTCGAAAACACTGTGAAAGATGCACGGGTGGCCACGAGCTCGCGTTTTTTTTTGCGGGTTGCAACAGCCGGTATGCACAGGGGCTGGCTCGCCATCGTTGCCAGCTTTGGGACTGATGGCATGTCAGCTCTGCCTCAACAGGGAGCAAGAGCTCAAGACAGAAATTCTAGATCTGCATGAGATACATACTCAGGTGCTTTGGGCTCCTTTGATCTACAAATGATAGTTTCCCAAAATAGGGGGGCCCCAATATAGAGCCCAAAATACTATAGTCCTTATTATTGGGACCCTCAAAATGGTACCCCTCATTTTGGGAACCCCCCAAATTTGGGAACTTTGGTTCGTTGTCACCGTGTCCCTGGTCCCATGATTTACGGAGCCGCGCAGCCCACTTCCCTACTTAGGCTGAACAACAGCAGCCACCCTCATCATGAGATAAGCCATAGTCTAAACTCCTAGTATCCCCCTTAGTACCCCCTATAGTAGTCCCCTATAGAATCCCCTATATAACCCCCTTTAAGGAGTTTAGACTTTGGCTCAGATGATGATGATGATGATGATGGTGGTGGTGACGACGGCGATGAAACTGACGCTGGCGAGGACGAGGATGACGACGATGAGGATGGTGATGTTGACGCAAATGCAAACCCTGGAACCAAATCCCTAAGCCCTCATCCCTGTGCCCTAGCCCCAAAAACCTGCACGCCCTTTTCCCAAAACCCCTCAACCGTGTGGCGCCTCTGACGTTTGCCTCCCGAAGTCTTCAAGAGCAGAGAAAGCCTTCAGACTGCAGGCATTAATTAGGATTGAAGGTTTGGGCCTAGGGCTGAGTGGTTCATGTTTAAATTGCTGGTCAAGGGCAGCGGCTAAGGGATGGGTGAAACAGTAATTCAGGGCATGGGCTCGGGGTTTATGGAGCTGAGGACAATTTCTTGCCGCGAAGGGGCATCCAGAACACGGCAACAAAGTTTGCGAAAACCACTCCTTGCAGCAAGCACGTGTGCACTTGAACACCATCCCTGGATCCTGCTAACAGTCCATACCAAAACCCAAACCCGATGAATGGCTACCTAAAAAAGGCTGAGGTGGTGAAAGGCAGTGGAAGAGGTCCACCTGAAAAAAAAAAATAGCGTGGTCCCTCTTTGAGTACCCTACACATTATAGTGGTCATCTTAAACTACATATCCCAAAGGGGCGATGATTTTGATAACCTATCAATCAGATTACCCATGACCAACTTAATCCTACTCGGTCCTCATTTACAACAAAAAACAGGTCCAGCCACTCGTCTCGGTTAGTTGGGCATGGAGGAAGGGATCCGTATTGCAGCCCCCATCCAATCACCTGCAAGACTCTCCCTCAAAATCCAAACAGCCCAATGTACGTACTCTTTACAGACTTTTGGGCCCGATGTAGATATTAAACGTATACTTAGATCCCTATATAGCCCCCTTTGACCCTTTGAACCTCCAGCTTCCATTTCATCTTTCATTTTTCCATTTGATTCTCCATTATTGGTATTATTTGTATACTTGGATCCCTAGGCGCCCCATATACTCCCCATATAATCCCACATAATCCCTATGAAATCCCTGTATAATCCCCAAATAATCCCTATATAATCCCTTCATAACCCTAGGTCCCTAAGGTATCCGTTCCCTCATTCCTTACGAAGCATGAGATAGATCTGGAAGAGCAAGCTCACATAAGCTATAGTCTAAACTCCATAAAAGGGGGGTAATATAGGGGGTTATATAGGGTTCAGGGATTAGGGTTTAGGGTTTAGGGATTAGAGTCTAAGTTACTTACCGGGGGGGTTATATAGGGGATTATACCAGGGACTATTATGGGGATTTTGAGGGGGGATACTAGGAGTTAAGACAATAGCTCATACATCTATCACTCACCACAAGCAATCTAATGTGCAGCTCTGAGACTTGTTTGTCACCTCCACAACAGTCCCCTTCTCAATCTCGCTCCACTCTCTACTCGGGGAACACTTGGTTTAGGTTTAGGGTTTAGGAGTTAGGGTTTAGGGTTTCTTTCAGTAATTAGAGGTGTCACGTATCGCGCTGCGATGAGTGAAACACCTGCTACACTGCAGCACCAATGTACCGCATATGTTGGAAAACAACCCGACAATAAGGTGCACCTTTTGGGGTACCCCGATTTAGGAAAACTACCATTTTGGAAAACCACCGTAGAAGCTGAATTGAAGCGAATTTGGGACTATATCACCTACTAATTCGGGCGAGGTTAGGTGAGGTCGTGCTAACTTGCCCCTCACCCCTAACATGCATTCTGCACATCAGCAACCTCGATGATTCAGGCTCAGTGGCGAAACCGTGGCGGAACGAACTTGTACGAAAAGAGGTTGACCGGTATCCACCTCACTGTTGCTGACTGATTCAAACAGACACAGGCTGAGCCTCAAGCGATGCTGAAGAAAGTATCTATCCGTGTGGGCAGGATGCTAAAGTGCGCTACATTGCTCCTAACTTCGCATCTCCGAAACACTGGGTGACGTAAGGTCTCTGGTCCATATCGGGTTGTCAGAATATGTCAGAATTCTGGCCCCGGTTGGAGTACCCTGGGTATTCTCATGGGACCCAAAGCTGAACAACAACCGTTGGTGTGACAACCTACCACATAAACATAAACCCCGACCACTGTAAATCGATAGTCCCCGTCTCCTTGTCATTTTACATGTTCTTTGCAGATGAATTTGCATTATCAGAGAGCCAAGAAACACAGACATGTTGCCTCGCTGCACGGCCCAGAAGTTGTCTCGGATGCCACGGAAAACTTCCTGACGAAGGGGCATGGAGGGCAAGGTTGACGATGTCGGGTTCAGGGTCTGGAGTGGCGGAGTGTGTAGTTTATGGCCATTTCCTGAACAGGGGTCCCCTTGAGTACCAAAACGAGGAGCCGGGTTGAACATCTTTAGGTGCCTAAGGCCTGCGTAAGTGGTTGCATGAGTGTCAGTTCTTACAACCTAGCAATGAGCATGGAACTCTGAAACACACGTTATCGGGAAGGTGCAGCAGCGTCTGTTGCAGAAGAGAGCATACCGTCCAGCAAACTCATCCTACCTCCGCCCCATCTTTATGGAGGAGTGTTGGGGAAATCTCTGTATGGGTATCTATGAATTCCGTAAAGTGTGATTTCAGCGGTTTAGCCTCTTATGCTTCAACCTAGAATATCTACACTCCACGAATGGCTTCTAGAGGGTCCTGTGTTGCCAAATAACATTCTGGCAGTTCTGATTGTTCAGGTGTTTGCTTTTTGGAAGAGGGCTCTAATCAAAAGGGAAAATATTGTGGCAAAACCCTTACTCTGCATCCCTAAACCCCTAAGTCCCAAACACTTAGCCCTAAGCGGCCGCCCTAAGCCCCTAACCCTAAACCCTACAGAAGGGTGCGCTGTGGGGCCTGGAGTCGTGAACATACGTAAAAACACGTATTTTCATGATGTTTAGCATAATAGTTAGGGATTAT